CTAATAGGGGGCAACGACACAGGATGTGGATGCTGTCCTCCTCTTCTTCCCCGCATAGCCGGCAATTTTTTTGCTCAGCCATTTTCAGGTTGTATAGATGTGCTCTTAAGGCCATATGTCCCGTAAGGAGGTTAATTGCGAGCCTCAATTTCTTTTTGTTCATCGTCAGTAGTTCACGGGCCCTACTTTTCGATGGTTTTTCCATCAGGAGTTTAGCCCGCCGGAAGCCTTGTCCTCGTTTCCACGAGTCCAGATACTCCTTTTCTAGGCTCTTCTTGATATATTCTTTACCAACGGCGAAGGGAATGCCCATCTCTTGCTCAACCGGGTCCTCCAGGATACCCAGTTTTGCAAGGCCATCCGCTACTTCATTGCCATGTAGTTCCCTGTGTCCAGGAATCCATATGATGGTGACTTTGTTAGTTTCTCCCAATTTATTTAGTGCCTGCTTGCAGTCCCATACCACTGATGATTCAGTGGTGGTTCCTTCAAGCGCGCCTAACGCTGTTCTGCTATCCGAGCAGATAAGAATGCTCCTATCTTTTACGTCTTGTGCAATTTGGATTTTGATGCATTTCAGTATGGCAAGCACTTCCGCCTGAAATACTGTGGCCCATTCGCCCATAGGTATAGTTACCTTTTGATCAAACTTCTGGCAATAGAAGCCCGCTCCAAAGCGACCATTCGCCCCCGATCCGTCTGTGTACCAGATGTCTGTGGATGTATGGGAAGCCTTCAGGATAGTTTTCTACTCGTCCCTTGTTGGTATTTGAACTTTAAACTTCCTGGTCCAACTGGTACTTTTTTGGGATCCTATCCTGTCTTAGAGTAAAGGGGCTTTCTTGGAGTAGCTCTAGTCCCATTTGTCTTCCTCCACCCCTCCACTCGCCTTGGCATTTTAGCCTATAGGCTGTGAGTCTGGCCATACAAATGATGATTCTGTCCAGTGGTGGAACGCTGAGTGCTACTTCTAGCGCTTCTGTGGGGGTGGTTCTCATGACCCCCGCTAACGCCCTCAGGTAGTTACCTTGAAGGCTTCTCAGCAGGTTCCTAGCTTCCACTTTTTCCACTCTGGACTTCCAGACTACGGCTGCATAGGTCAGTCTCGGTAGTAGGACTGCCTTGTATAACCATAGGGCTATCTTGGGTTTTAGGCCCCATGTTTTGCCCATTGCTCTTCTGCATGCCCAGAAGGCTGCATAGAATTTAGTCCTCTTCATCTCGAGGTGTTGTTTTCAGTTGAGTTTGGGGTCTAGATAGACTCCCAAACATTTCACCAGAGGAGCATATTTTATTTCTATGTCCTATAGCCTTAGTGGTTCTATGGGCTCGGGTTTGTATTTTCTGGTGAAGATTATGGCTTCGGTCTTCATTGGATTTACCTTTAGCCCCTTAGCCTGACACCAGTTTTGTACAACCTTAAGGGCCCTGTCTATCAGTTCCTTGAGGGTTGAGAGAAAATTGCCCCTTGCCACTATAGCCACGTCATCTGCGTAACCATATGTGGAGAGCCCCATTTCCTGTAGCTTAACTAGGAGGTCATTGACCACCAGGCTCCACAGCGGCGATAGCACGCCGCCCTGCGGACATCCCTTGGATGGTTCCCCCTCCAGAGTTAAGTCTCCAAAGTTGACCGTTATAACTCTTTCCGTCAACATGCTTTGTGTCCAATCCACAAGTCCTGTAGGAATGCCTTGTCTGGTCATCGCCTCCCTGATCATTTTGTATGAGGTGCTGTCAAAAGCTCCCTCTATGTCCAGGAAGACTCCCAGTGCATATCATTTTGCCTCTAGCTGCGTCTCAATTCTGCTCACAAGGTGATGTAAGGCAGTATCTGTTGATTTGCCCTCCCTATAAGCATACTGAGACGCAGCCAGTGCGATATTAACGTTCCTTTTTTCAGATGATTATCAACCAGTCTTTCCAAGCTTTTCAGCAGGAAGGATGTAAGGCTAATAGGTCTGAAGTCTTTTGCCAATATATGGCCGTTTCTGCCCGGCTTTGGTATGAAAATAACTCTCGTACCTCTCCAGGCTTGTGGTACATGTCTTAATGCTATACTAGCCCTAAACACTTTGGTTAGTGGACCTATCAAGTAGCTAAGTCCCTTTTGTAAGAGTATGGGACTTATTCCATCTGGTTCTGGTGCCTTATAGGGATCGAAGGTCCTTACCGTCCATTCGACCGCCTTCGGGGACACCAGTTCAACCGCCAGTGACCATTCCCTAGGTTTATACTCTTCCCTAGTTTCTTGATCATTTAATTTATTTTGTGAGTATGTCGTTTCCTGAAACCCCGGAAAGTGTATCTCCAGGAGGTGTTTCAACGACTCTCTTATATTTTCCGTATAATTACCATCGGGCCGCTTTAGGCATCCTAAGATGGGACGGTTATCTTGGCTGAGGATTTTGCTTAGTCTGGATGCCTCTGAGGCATTCTCTATACTGTTGCAGAAATCTCTCCAGCTTTTGCGCTTGGCTTTTATAATTGCCTTGCTGTATTTACATTGGGAATTTCTAAATATTTCCCAGTGTTGTGGTAAGCCTGATTTCCTGGCTTTGTTGAATTTCTTTCTTACTTCCGACCTAAGCTTCTGTAGCTCTTTGTTCCACCATGGAATCTTGGTTATGGAGCGTTTCCTGGTCATGGGACAATTGGCCTCAAAGGCACTCCTTATGGAGTTCTCCAGATGCCATGCCGCCGTGTCCAGTTATTCGTATGTATGGAATCTGGTTGGAGCTTTTGTTAGCATGGCCATTACATCTTTCCTATAGCCTATCCAATCTGTCCTTCTCGGGTTTCTTACCCATTTTTCTTCCGATATGTGCTGGAGGGTGAATTGTATCCTGTTATGGTCCGATCCTGTAGGTTCTTTTAAGACCCTCCAATCTCCGACCAGTCTGGACACCTCCTCCGTACCTATCGTGATGTCAATTACCTCTTCCCTTCTGGAATCCCTGAAGGTAGGTGTTGTGCCTCTATTTAGAATTATCAGTCCTGTGCCCATGACGAAGATATGTAGGCTTTCCCTTTTCTGATTGATGTTCGTGCTCTCCCACCCAACATGGTGGAAGTTTGCATCACATCCCAGGAGTAGTTCGAGCCCTTTCTCCTCCGCATAGGCCACTAGTCTCCTGATTTCGTCCTGTGGTGGTGGTTCCATGGAGTCATAGAGCATATAGGCTGATCCTATTAGGACCTCTAAGGTCTTTTGCTCTCCTATATTGATTTTAGTTTGGATAACCACCAAGTCCTTGCAGCTAAGCTGTGGCATAAAAGTTATTGTTATTCCTTTTACTGCGATACAGGCTCTTATCTTTCCACTCGTGCTGGCTTTGTATATGATACCGCACCCGCTCAGGCCTTTGATAGCATTGTTCAGAAAGCAAGGCTCCTGTATTAGTGCTATGACTATCTGCATCTTAGCCAGGCTCCTCGCCAAAGTAGCCGAGGCGCATTTGCTATGATGCAAATTGATTTACGTGACGAGTACTTTGAGGGTGGCTATTTTTAGGCTGTCTCTTCAGTCTCGGTCACTTTATCCCCACCCCCCTTTCGGTCTTTGCCGAGCACTTTTATCACGGCCCGCCCTAGTCCGCAGAAGGGTCTAAAATTGAGGGTCTTTAGTACCTCCATCAATTCGTCGTCAATAAGGCAAGCGAAGTGGGCGCTCTTGGCATCCCTACTCTCGCTCCCCCTAGTGACGACCCAGTCGGTGGTCGTCAGACCCTCATTTTGTCTCCCCAAAAATCTGAGCGTTTCATCGGAGGTTATATCCGATTCCCCTACGCGGATGACCACCCGATGTCTCCCAAGGAGTTCGCCAAGTGGCACCACACGCAGGGCAACGTCCCCAATCTTAATATTTGAAGTCTGGCTTGAGATCCAGTCTTTGGTTGCCTCATTAATACAGGCGAAAATAATCGCGCCGTCCCTTTCCCACGACCCAGAAAACGTGGGGGCAGTCGCGTCCTCGGAGAGGATGCGCCCCCTAATCGCCCTCCTGATCTGGGCGGTCTCCTCCGACGCGAGCCTTTTCTCAGGATAGCCGTCCGGAATGACGGCCACCTTCATGAGGCCCTTGGTCGCCTGGGCACAGGACCCCTGATCTAAGATCTTGGGTTTTTTGCCCTGGCGACCACCCGTGGGATGGGAGTACAATGCTCCGGCCTGGCGCGTTTTACTGCGCCGACCGTGACATCCCCCTCCCTGTCCTTAGGGGTGTTGTCAAACGCTTTAGGAGAGGTTTAAATCGCCCTCTCCCTCTGCAGCTGTTATTTATATCGGCGTCTGGCGGCACCGCTATATCTAATGCGGGTTTTGTAGTCCTTCGACGGCCCAGCCCCATCTTTTATTCCAGGAGTGACCTCCTGGAGTGCCTCTTTCAGCGGTGAAAGAGAGATATTGAAATTCATATTTTTATTTGGTTCCATATGTGTTCCTACGAGTACCGCGGTTACGCGATATCACCCGGTCAGAGCCGCGATTGACTGGGGCTTGGCTACATACTCTCGGAGGTCGCCGAGAGTTCCGTTCGAGACGCAGCTCCTCCTGCGCCACGCAGTCCTCGGCACGGAAACACCTCGACTTGGGGGGTGTCGCTTTGTCGGTCGCATCCAATTTCGCCCCTGATGGGGCGACCCTGGATGCGGCCTTAAGCTCCACCACCACGCCAAGGTGGAGACCCATTCG